GTATTTTTAGAATTATCAACAATTTTAAAGTTGTTTAAGTGCCGCTAAGCCTTTTTGTTGATGGCGGCCATTGATTGTTTACATTTGAAACAGAAGACTAGTGGATTTGTTGCCAATCTAGAGAAACTTAGCTTCGCAACAACAAAGATAACGCCTTCATTTATTATTGCCAATTAAATCATGCTTAATCCTTTCTGGAATGTTTTCGAGGAAATAAGTGTTTAAGATTTACTTCGTAATTTTTAATATAGATAGTTTGAGTTTTTATGTATTTTTGCCTTCTCGCGAAGTGAGAACTAAATTAATTGAATGAGAAATACTCAATCGTCTGTGAAAAACTGTTTCTTTTTTGTTTTGTTTGCTTAATTTCTTTTATACATCATTCTAGCTTTATTATAGTATTTGAATAGAACATGTGGCAACGATTAGATAATTCTATTCTTTAAATGATATAAATTTTGTGCATTATGAATTATAATATGAACGAAATATAATAATACTGTTAAGTGAATCCAGCGCCAGAGTGTCGCTATGGTAAACAAATACTAGAGTGAATTTTAAAGAATGCATTTATTCTATTGTGGTTTATGCGCTGTCAGGATTTAATTCAATCTAGTAAGTTTAAATGAAATTCAAGAAAAAATGCGTATAATTTAATATTTCGTACAAGGAAGTCATGTGGTGTACACATCAGATTTTTATTTTATATATACTGTAAGGATCTGAAGTTTTACTAACGTTTATTTTATTTTAAATCTTTACTATCACTTCTTATTTTCTACTTCCGGCCAGAATTAAAAGCGTTAACTTATTTATGCAAAATTTGTCTGGCGAACGCCAAGTACTTAAGTTGTGGCTTTTTGCCAAGCGAGAGAGAGAGGAAGGAGTTAGTCGAAGCAGGCCGCTTGCCTTAGAAGTTTTACTCGTTGCTGGTTGCCTTCCAGGCCAGAGGTTTAGTCCTCTTGATAATTTTAAACGTATTGTAGTGTTAACAGTTCTCTGTACTACATACGGCTTCCTGTTAATATAAGGCCAATCTTCCACGTTTATATTCCAAATTTAAGTTAGAGTTTAGTTATATTTTTATATTCTTACGTTCAGACCACAAGTAGTTGGTCTCGTATTCCGAAGTACGGAAATTATTGTAAAGAGTGAAAAATAAAGGGTTTTGTATACCCTTCTTGTGTATCTTGTCTACTTCCCACAGTTATTGAACATAGCTTTAGTAAGCTCCCTGTTCCGAGTCAGGTCCTTGCATGTTCCCAAAGAAAGTAAGGCGGAACAATGAACCTGATAATACATATCACACCTTTGAAACTTCCGGTTTTAGTAATTTTATTTCCGTTTCAGAATTTTTTTGTAGATTACATAAATTTTGAATGATGGACATAATTAATTCGATCAATGGACGCAGAGACAACGTAACATTCTTTAGATGGAGATTTCGCAACACTCGATTTTGCATATTATATAATCATCCGAGATATATTTATGCAATGTTTACATTTTGCAATCTTTCTCAAACACCCTAAATAAAGAAATTTACTTCATATACTTTAAGACGAAAGATTCATCTTAGCATTAACCTTTCATCAGCAAGAATTGTAAAATACTCATTCTGAACTAAAAAGCGTTAAAACTGGGAAAGAAGATTTTGAAAGCAAGATAAATGGGACAGAATTTGATAATATTTTCAAGGTTAAATTTCAGCAGGTACGCTTAGTATTTGATTAATTATTACTGGAAATCTGTAATTTGTTTAGGATTGATTGCAGCATCGCATACAATAGTAATGGTTTTTCTATGGTTTAACGATTCTATTCTCATTTTTATTCACGAATCTGCAGATTGTGACAAATGAAGAATTGCAGGCTTGTTTGGACATTAATAATTATCCGCTTTTCATTCAGAGTTTCCTGGTGTTGCTTTCTGATAATCGCTCATTTGTCTCCACAAAATAGATGTTTTTAAAAAATGAGTTAGTGAGGAAACATTCAATTCGATTTATTTTCACAGAAATAATTTAAATAACTAATTATTTTCTCTTTCCTTTGAAAGCTTCTAAGGAACTTCTTTCTTTCTTCACCATGAAGTAATTTCTTCATGGTGTCATTGGAAGCACGTCCTACTAGAGCACTGTTGATTTCTCATGTTTACTGCTTCGATAAATACCTAATCGCTTTAGATGTCGCGCCCGAATTAAAATGAGGTGGACAATCATTCGTTACCATTTAGATTTGGCGGTTAAGTTCCCTCCTGTCCAATAGTATTTTAAGAGGAAAATATATAAGAAACATTGTCCTTTCTTACCACGTGCCTTCGTTGTGTAATTGGTGGCAAGTCTGGCTTGCGAACGGGAGGTCAGGATTTCGAATCCTAGAGAGGACATAGCAGATTTTTGACATTTCCCTGCTCTAATAAATATTTAATAACTCAAGCACAATTAGTCATATTTTTCAATAAAATGAATGTATTGATTATTTCGTGCAATGCTTTGCTTTAGTAATTACTTCGTACATTATTCTAATCAATAGACCTATTGTTTGTGACGTCATAACACTTGAGAAAATCACCTGATTACCTCATTTTCTCGGATAAGACCTGAGTACAAGGCCAGAGCCTTAGGACTGAGACTTTAGGAAACTCTAGAATTATAATATAATGCATTATGATTGTATTTTCCCACATAATATTAAGAAAAGAAACGCCCAGGAGTCCTAAAATAATGTTGTGCCTAAGAATACAGGTGGGATTCTAAAATTTAAAACCATAATTATCCAGGTCACTGAGTTAATAGGTGACAAAATTAGCCATTGGATAACGAAAAATTGTCTAAATAAAATATTTAATGATTAGTTCGTTAAAATAAGCGGTTCTGCCGATCCGCTACGAAATGTTTGACTTTCACATTTACCCGAAACATCAGACTGTTTTAATTTAATACTCTTAAAATTCCGCCAATTGCGAGAAATTAAAATAACGTAAGTTGAGCTTTAAATTCAATTAAAGTCGCCGGAGACTACGCAAAATGATTTACTTAAGCTGGCTCAATTATTTTAACACACCGTTTTCTAACATTGCGTAGCAAAATGGCTTGGCCATAGGACGTAAACTGCAAGCGAGGCTGCCAAAAGCTCTAATCCTAAACCATTAAAACCCTCGGCTTAAATACTCACACAATTAATTTGCTTTCTGGTAACGGTACGGAAAGAAGAAGTTACAGAAACGTTGAAAATCGAAATAATTGAATAATTAACATAAAATACTAATAACGAGTCATCATTTTAAGACATTTTAATTTTGTGTGCTATTGTACAGTCATTAGGAAGTTTCGAATTGGATTCTTTATGTAAGACAAAGCGCCTAGAGTTGAAACCGACATCTTTTACTTAGCAGCTGAATGTGTTAATCACTACACCATACGAAATCATCGAACGTTTCATACAATTCGAATGTGGGACATTAAACATTTTTTCACCACTCTCAAGTCCTTTTATTATATCGACTTGTGTTTAAACAAAATGGCATGTAGCTTTTTTGCGTTGTCATTATCAGCACTTGATATTCTCATTTCACCAACCATTTTTAATATTATTTATTTCATTTTCGACTCTCGAACAAATTTTACTTTTTGAGAACAAGTTTATTCATAGCGGCGGAAGTTCGCAAAGCGTTTGTACTGTTAAATGCGACTGCGGATGGCTCTGATCAATGTTAATACTAGTTAGCACTGCTGCCTGTCGTATCATTGGGACGGAGTTCGAATCTCAGAGAAGGTTTGGATATTTATAAGTGTATAATGTGCATGGGAGACATTTAAAATACTGGAAAACCTTCTTAGTGGTTTGATTGTAACAACGGAAGGAAGGTGGAAGACTTTTAGACCCGCCTTCCAGGAGATTCTCCATTGAAATTGGAATAGAACTAGACAAAGTCGTACTGTCAACTATTTGCTCAAGATCCATGCCAATGACAGATACGATCCTCACCACGATAAAATCGTGGACTTGTTCTGATGTTATTGCCAGACACGTCAGACAGATCACAACAACTCTTTTAGGTGTACCTGGACACATTCATCACGTCAAAAGGGGCGTTTTTTCAACGTTTCGTGTGTTACCTTTATTTATTAAATATCATATTCTTCGCTCTTAAAACATAAAATTCAGTTCAACAGAAATATCGCAAAATAGTTTTAAAATGGGCATATCTTTAGAATTTCCAAAAAACAGTCTCAAGCGCTGGAGATAATTTTTTCTAGTACAGTCTTGCCATTTCTCGCTTTGAAATCATAGAGTACGTTAATCAGAAATTCGTTAAAGGTTTACAAAATATAAAATAGGTAATAAAAACAAATTTCAAATTTGTCCTTCCAGATGCCCATATTCGTTATTCAAAGCTGGATGGCTCTAAGTATCATTGTTTTATCACAATGTGAGAAACATACATACATTTATGCAGATTCTTCATTATTTAATTTCTTTAAATATAATACAGGGCTCTAATATTTGGCGGCAACAATTCGAAAAATGAACCGACATTTATAGTGAACCAACGCAAAATGCCAAAACGAAATTAATAGTCCTTCTAGGAAAATTGCCCCTTTGAACTAATAAATCATGTTTCAAATTAAATAAATAACGTCTCGGCTTGAAAAGTGAAAATATAAATATCGTTAGCAAAGTTTAATTTTTCAGTTTTTTTAAAAAAAGATTTTCAATATAAAAGAAATCGATATGCTCACTCGAGGACCCCCTAAGCTTGCGACTACGAGGCCTCTCCGGTGGTGGTTACAGCCCTGGTATTAGCCAATCTTAAAAAAAATTTCAAAACTGTAATAAAAAATTTATTAAACTAAAACAGGAAAAATAACGTTTTCCTGTTTTTTTTCTCAACTGCGTCACTGCATTTATGTAAATAGCAATTAATACATACGCAAAAGAAATGAATACGCCTGGAGAAATTTAAACCAAGTAAATTCTTATTTATCTTTTTTCCAGCTCCACTTGCTGCGGACGAAGAGGTTGTCGTCATCCAGGAAAACATGACGCACTCCTGTCTCAAGGACTCGCTGCCGGAAAAGGTAACTTAAATATCCTCTATTACTTTGAAGAATTTTAGGCACATGCTATGTGATAATAAAACTATACCAGTTTCTAAAAAATGAATAAAATTATCGCACGAATGCGTAGTTTCGCTAATAGCGTTTCTTGTAGGTCAAGAAGTTAAATAATTAAAGGTTAGCAATTTTAAATGCTCATTGGAATCCCCCTTCTATTTATTTCTTCATTTTTGTTGCAAGCATAATAGTCAATTATAATCAGAAACTTCATGTCTTATAGGAAGTCGAACCATTAATCGTTTTCATTTCCTATCACTATGGAAAAAAATTAAGGCGACCATTAATGCTTACGAATAGTGGATATGCTACACCGGTAGTGGCATAAAATGGAGGGGGGAGGCGGAAGGGTCGATACATATTTTGATGCGGCATCTTTTGCGTGAAACATTGTTTTAGGGGTGTTAATCAAATGGAACGTCGAATAATTAAATTCTAAATTGTTATTCGGTACTAAATTGAGAAGAAAAGAATTTTTACTCTAGATAAGATATTCAAAGAAATCATCACCCGATTTCAACAGTTGCATACTTTTGTTATATTCTCATTCCATCGAAACTACTGAATGAAAATTACGAATTTCAAGTAAATTATGATAACGTTGATATGTATAAGGAACTATTCCTAGTTAACAGAGAAGTATTTCAGAGTATTATTTCCATTGTAGAAAGCTGCTGTTAAAAAAAAAATTATAAACAAAAATATTAGAGTCAAGTTCATCCTCCCACCTTGCAATATGAAATTTGGGATTGAGTATTGCAAAATAATAAGAAATTAAGCATTTTTCTCACAAGTCCAATCGATGAACTTTCGATTGAACTTCCTGATTTGGTTATCGTGTGCGATTTTAAATGGGTATGAATAATTTTCTCCTTTTCCGTAAAATTATGCTGTAGCGTACTTTTTGTATTCTTGTTCAAAATTTCTCACCAAATTTGTTACCTCAAGAACTATTTATTACTCGGAAATAACTATCTATATCTCTTTAGCTATTTATGACTCTACAATAATTAAATAATTCCTTTACTCATACTCTCAAATGATGAAAACAAAAGTTACACTAACTCTCTAAAAAGAAGAAAAACATAGTATATTGCCATTCTCTGAAACATAAACTGTTACAAAACATTAAGATAACAACATAATATGTAAAGAATAGATAATGAATTTTAAAAAAAAACCTATAGAGTAAAGAAAACGATTACATCTGCTTGAAGCTCATGCAATATTACTCAGAAGCTGCAGTTAGAAAAAAAAATATAAACAAAAATATTAGAGTCAAAATATTGTTCATCCTCCCACCTTGCAATATGAAATTCGGGATTGAGTATTGCAAAATAATAAAAAATTAAACATTTTTCTCACGAGTCCAATCGATGAGGAACTCTAATTGTTCTTCCTGATTTGGTTATCGTGACGATTTTAAATGGGTATGGCGATTTTAAATGGGCTATTTGTTTCTACAGGTACATCATCAATTGGAGTTTTCTCTACCGAAGTACTTTCGCATCGTTGACTTCCACTGAATTTCGATGGAAGTTCCTCGGCTGTCGATAATTCCAAAGGATAAAGATTTTGTACAGCTCTTATGACTTCTCCATTTTGCACTTTAATTCTGGCTTTCGACTTTCACCTTCGGTACCTAGAAATAATTGTATGATTTTACTATGAGGCCAATTAAATCTCCTTTTGTCATCGCTTCCAATTAAGACAATATCTCCTTCCTTTAATTTACAGCTTCTAGCGAATTTTTTGCTTGTTGTCTTTACAGTTCTCAGATATTCCTGGCGAAATCTTTTCTTGAAAATCTGGTTAACATTTTGGATATAACACAATCTACGTTTATAAAAGTTAGAATTGAAGTCATGTTTAACAATTGGCACTGAATAGTTTTGTATTTCTCGTAAAAAATTTCCAGGTGTAATGGAAGAGAGACTTGAATCAGCCGATACAACTGTTAAAGGTTTATCATTTAGGATAGCTTAACAGTTACACAAAAACGGTACACATTTCCTCATAACTAAGGCAGGCTCTCAAAAGAACTTTTCTTAATATGTTTTTCCTCATTCTTATAAGGCGTTCCCACCAGCCACCCCACCATGGAGCGACTGGGGGAATGAACTTCCAAATAATACGTTCATTAGCTCCTTTTCTTGCAATTTCATTGAAATCGATTGAAGCAAGTGCATTGCATGCTCCAACAAAATTTGTTCCATTATCAGTATAAATTATGGATGGCTTCCCACGTCTAGCAGAAAAACGATGAAACGCTTGTAGAAATGTATCTGTCGTTAAGGATGTAACCAGTTCCAAGTGAACACAACGGTACACTGAATAGGCAAATCCATGCCTTCTTATAGTCTCTTAGAAATATAGGTCCAGCATAATCTAGGCCGGTTATTTGAAACACTGAGGCATCCTGTACTCGATCTCTAGGAAGTGGTGGCGCTGTTAAGCTGTCCCACACTCTAGTGGGTTAACATTTTTGTTTGAATAACGCTTACAAGGGTTATACAAGTTTTCAGAAACGGATGACACAACTCTTCTTCCCGCTAATATCCAAAATCTTTCTCTTAAGGAATTTAGGACGTGAGAAACTCCAACATGTCCTTTCAACTTATGTTCTTCCATTATTAAACTTCTTATAAGAGGATGATCACTTGGCAAAATAGCAGGAGTTCTGAACTCAGATGTATCTTCTCTTTGAAATATCGCTGTTTTAGTTCTGATGATCCCACAATCAATGAATGGATTAAGACTTAAAATCCGTTTATCTTCTATTCCATTAAAGGACTCATTTTGTATTAAACGAATCAAGATATTCTCTGCTTCATTTAACTCAGATACAGTAAGTTCATCCTTTTTCTTGTTTTGATGTTTACAGTTGTAAACAAAAACGACACATCCACGCTACCAGTCTGATTGTCTTACGATAACTTGAGAATCTAGTAGCAACTATTTCACTAGCATTAAGATTTATTAAGGACGAAATAATCCTTTTCTTTTTCTCAAGAGCTATTTCTTCTTCATCAGCACTAAAATCTTCTTTTGGCCATTTTTCTGGTGATAAATATAGCCATTTAGGGCCTTCCCACCATCTAGATTTAATTAAATAAGAAGCAGAGCATCCTCTACTGGGCAAATCAGCAGGATTCAGTGATCCTGGTACGTGCCTCCAAGATTCAATAGAAGTCAGTCGCTTTATTTCCTTAATTCTGTTGTGAACAAATACGTCCCATACTTCATTTCTCTGTATCCAAGCTAGCACAGTAGACGAATCTGTCCAAAAATAAATATCATCAGCTTGAAATTCAGGTATTATGCTGGATGCTAAACGTGTACATATTGTAGCTCCAAGAAGTTCCAATCGAGCTATTGTTGTCTTTTTCCTTCCGCTGGGTGCAACTCTCGCTTTAGCTTGCACCAAATGAACTTGAACCGAATCTCTTGTTTGTACTCGAACAAAGGCCACAGCTGAATATGCAAGTTTACTCGCATCACTGAAGAAATGAAGTGAGATATTTTTCAATCTCACGATCACAGTTTAACCATCTTGGTATTCTCATTCTTTCCAGACACTGCAAATCATTCAACCATTTACAAAATTGTGATTTTGAATTTGAATCAACTTTTTGGTCCCAAGATAACTTAACTTCCCATAGGTGCTGAAGTAAAAGTTTCGGCACAAGAGTTACGGGCAAGCTATTCCTAAAGGGTCGAATATTTTGTGTGTAGTAGCTAAAATCTCTCTTTTAGACAAAATTTCTGGTAGATTGTAGGTGATGTTAGTAATATTAAGGCAAAGGTAATCTACCACATATCGTTCCCAAATCATTCCTAATACATTTGTGGTACTAGAGGAATTATTTGTTGGGTCACTATATTTTCAACCAGTAATTCTAGCTTTCTTGTAGCTAAAATATCTGAAGCAACTTGTATGAACTGTTGCAATTCTAAATCATTTTTCACATTCGCTAAACAATTATCTACATAAAAGCTCTTTTTCAATTGCTCAATAATATCCACTTTATGCTTTGGGTTTCCATTTAGTTGTTTCAAAGTGGATTCTAGAAGATGATGAATTACAGTATCTAGCACGAAATGGCTACTTGTAACTCCAAATACTACCCCTACAATGCCTGTAATAAAAAATTTCCAGTTTATGGAAGTTTTCCATCAGTTCTATACCATAAGAATCTTAGATAGTCTTTATCCTTAGGGTTGAGACTTATTTGTAAGAATGCTTTTCGTATATCTGCAGAAACTCCTATTCTGTTCATTCGGAATTCTATGAAGAATTGAAGGAAATCAGTTCGATAAGGTTCTGACCTTTTTCTAGACAATCATTGAGACTAGGTGATCCTTTTTGTTTAGCCGAGGCATCAAACACTGGCCTGATTCCGTGTAGTACTGTTTTCTTTTACTACGTGTCGATGTGGTAGATAATGGCATGTTACATCAATTTCGCTTTTTGGTACTTCTTCTATGATGCCTTCTCGTTCCCATTCACTAAAAACTTCTCCATAAGCATCATAAAGTTTCTCAGCTTTTAGTCGTTTTACTGTAGTAATCTCTTTACAGCTCTTTAATCTAGTTATTTTTACAGTAGTTATCATAGTTATCTTTTAACGGTAGATGGTTATCAAGCCATGGCAAGTTGACTTGAAAAGTCCCTCTTCGTTCACCTTTACAGTAGACAAGAAATGATCTCTTGCCTCTTCTTGAAGTTCCAGTTTATTTTTCTTCTCTGAGGGATCTAGAATTCCAAGTGAATCTAGAGACCATAGATCGGATATCAATATTTCCTTATTCAACATGGATGTGACAAGCAGTGCGGAATTGTCCGAGATCTCACGCATACCATTTTTCCCAAAAAGAGTCCAACCAAATTTAGTTTCTATAGCAGCAAGGCCTTAAGTAAGCAGTTTAAATCCTCCGGTCATCAATTTGCCTGCAATGTCAGC